TCACTTTGGCCAGTGTGCTGTGGAAGAGCTAAGTTGGGCTACCGGGCGTACTGAAGTCCAAAGTTCTAAAAATCTAACAACCCCACAGTCCTACGGGTGGGGAAAAACATGTTTGAGTTTATGGTTAATTGGTTCTGTGCATCCCTTTGTTAACAAATTGTTTCTTTGGATTCCTTCTCAACTAAATCCTCCACCATCAAGCCACAAAACCTGCTGACAACAATTCCAATTCAATTGAATTTAAAATCAATCCTTATTCAATTCCAAATCAGCTGTTCTAGTTCAGTTCAGGTTCAATTGAATCTAAACTCAATTCAATTTCCGCCAATTCTTCCAATTCAATTGAATACAAATTCAATTCAATTTGAATTCGAAGCCAATTTCAATTCATGAATTTAAACTCAATTCTAATTCAATTCCAATTCAGTTCTTTTTTAAATACTACCTTTCATTGTATTTTTTGTTCTAGTAAGGGATCATTTCATTTCTAATATAAATTCTTTCTTGGAGTCTGGGATGAACTTAAAACAAATTTTAAGACGGTCAACATTAGCATCTCAACCAAGAAACAGCTCTGACGAGTCAATGCCATATTCCTCGATCTGAGATACTCCGTCAGCCACACCCACCTGGGAAGTGAGTCAGGTTCAGCTTCTACCATGGAGTTTCCATGAGCTTCCTGCACCTGCGCTGATCGCGCAATTTACCTTTCATGCCGGTCTCTCTCCACTCTCCACGCATCAACAAGTGGCCACACCCCATACAGCCCGCACTACCGAGAAGCACATTTCAGCCGAGAGGCCGCCATAGGAGAGACCAGCGTGGCATCCGCATCACGGTGTCCAGCATTGGCCTTGACCGGATGAGTCCTCTGGTATGTGCACGCATTGAAGCCTCACAGGCGAACATGCAAACGGAGCTAAGATCTGGGGGCCCAAGACTTCAACGACCATCTGTTCCAATTGTTTCCATATGTGTATGCACCTATGCATTAACACAAGCAAGGCACCGCCGCCGTTAGCGGCTGTGGGTATTTTGCACACGCTGAATTTTGCACACGCGGGTCAACGGAAGAGTTCAGGGTTCTGACAGTGGATCTGGGCATTGTGCCGCCACTGCCACACAGAAACCCAGTTGTGCATATATGGATTCACTAGACGGCTCTTGACATCTTTTGTGGCCAGTTCTTTTGGTAAGAATTCTTTGAGTCGTCTCCAAAATGGCAGACGAACGGATGAGGTGCGACGTGAACGAAGCGCGACGACAACGGAGAAACCATCCGAACCTCACTGGAACCCCACAAACCACCCCTGAAAGGAACCTGGTGACCCGAACCCCCCCCACAAATAAAGACCGCGAAAACACCGGCGGAGGCCTGAAGTGAAGCACTGTGACACCCGAAAATCCACAACCCAAAACCCACTTGAAATGTAGCAGAATCCCCACAGCCGCTAGCGGCGGCGTTGCCCTTAACAATGTGTAAATATATATATACACATGGAACGCATTGGAGAAGTAGCCGTCAGCCATGCACACGGCATCAAGAATCAAAGGGATTGTTTGGCTGCAACGCCAGGGAACAAAGAGGCTTGTTCTTGTAGTAGACCTCTGCAAGTTGCTGCTCCCTGCGTTGAAAGGCATCCAAATCCTTCTTTTGCTTCTCCTTTGGTTGAAGGGCTGAGGGAAGGATGTGGTTGCTGCGTTTGGCACCTTCTTTTCTGCACTGTAGCACTTTCTGGACCTTGTTCAAGATCATTCTAAATTCTAGTTTTCCAGTTGATCAGACTTGTTTGGCAGTAACCCAACTACATGGTCTTCTCAAATTGGCCAAGTTTCTGCGCCGACGAAGAAGGTGGGTGACCTCTGGACAGGACCACGCCGTGATGCCATCGTACCTTAAGGTTTGACTGGCTGGGTGGGCGGCGCGAGTCACAAGCTCAGTCCTGCTCAGGCGGCTTGACTTTTGACATGATTGTTCAGGGCAACATCTGACAGTCTAACAGGTGGCTTTCGATCGGGATGACGCGATGTGAGTGCTGGGGAGGTCATCAGCCATTGCCGCCGATTCCTTTCTTCTCTCCACCCCATATCAATTAAGCAAGACCGTAGAACACATTCAGGGTGGCACGGCGACATCCAAATTGAATAAGAAGAAACGGGCAATGAGTTTGCATGTTGGCCTGAAGTACTCCTTTGCTACTTCCCGGGTGGCTACTAACTACCCTTTACCAACACAAACACAACACCACCCTTAACTCACTTGAGGGCGAAGACGTTCATGCGTCCCAACCGGATGCTGCCACCAACCGATGCCTGTCAAACACAGTCTGCTTGCCAGGCGATTCCGCCGGGCAGGACAGGTGCGGCGCCACAAAGGCACGATGGAAAATGGCCCGTCTACGGGAAGCGTGAATGATGGCACAGGTCACTGATAGAGGTTGATACATGTTGATACTTAATCCTTAATACCACTACTCCAATGGAGCACAATTATATACTTGTCACAAGACTTGCATGGCCGAAATAGTTGCATGGCTCTTAATGTAAAGAAGTGTTCTTTTGCTCAGGCAAACTGCCCTCAGTCTCAACTACTGCCCGGCACTCCTTTGAAGATCATAAAATAAACCTTTGAGATATGCCTTGAACAAAAACGCCTGCAAGGAATCTCACAACTCCACGATGAGTAAGTGCGGGAAACTTGAACCACTTGAAGATACAATCACTATCAATCACTTCTTAGGGCAACAGAAACTTATAATATACAAATATACACAAACACTGAAACACTTTAGGAAGATCCTCCGTGCGCCTCCTCCCATTCCAAGCTGCGGTTGAAGCTGAGGTTGGGGAACCTGACAAACACACACGCAAGACATCAAGGCTCTTGAATTGTTCAAGTTCGCGGAAATAGATTCAAAAGTGGGCCCACTGCCCAATTCTGGCCGTGGCGGACGTCGGAATTGCCAGTCTCGCTACATTCAAACATGCTCAAACCACCAAATGAACATGGACAACGGCTGGACAGGTCTCAACAATCATCAAAGGCTAGCAGGCTTGCGTATTCCAACAATCATCCAAGACTCTTCAGCTGAACTCTCAAACAGGCCCCTTCAGGATGCCTGCTGCTGGCTGGGCATCTGAGAGCCACCCTTCTGCTGTGGCCTCAAAACATACGGGCAACGGGCAGGCATCATCAACCAATGTCAAAGTTCTGCAACCTTGACAGTCTTTCAGTCTCTACATCCAAAATGTTCTGGTCACGTCACCTACATACAGCTGCGAGTCGTGTGCTATCATTTCCCGAGTTTGAAAAGATGACCTCGCAACGAATGTGCTTATGCGGCACATGGTAATAGGCCAACCTCTAAAGAGACACAACCAAGCCCTGTTCACCCAGCATATCGGGCACCCCTGACGGCGACTGGCCAGGTACACCTGGCTTGGCATTTGTCATGCACCCACTTGTTTATGGGCACTGACCCCCCCAAGAGAAAAAAGAACAGAAGAACATGCGTTGCATGTGTTCTGTGATGTTCATTACTTTATTCAGTTCTCAATCGGTTTGCTCCAGCTACTGCTCACTCCTGTTTTCTGAAGAGTATTGTGGTCATTGCCTCCTGGGCCAGCACCACGATCCGGACCTGCTCACAGCGTCTCATGATGTCTCATGACTGTTCATCGCCTCCGCGAACGAACAAAAACCTACGTCCATCGCTTATTTGGGCTCGACATTTGTTGGCCCTTTCTCTCGCCCCTTGCACCCGAATGTACACACACTTGGGCTTCTTTGTTTGAAGCTTTTATTCAAAGAAAACCAACATGACTTGATTGTCCCTCATATTATATATGTACCTCCATGTTGCATCTCCTTTCCTGGCAAGTGCACTTTGTATCCTACGCTGGGAGTGACCATTGTCAGCCCGACAGGGACGATCGCAAGGGCCGGCAAGTCTTTGCCCAACATCAAATCGGTAAGAAGCCCATGTTGTCAAGTGAGTCAACAATACATCAATATATAAATATATATAGAGATATGTGTATTTATATACATCAATCTTATTAGCAAACAAGTGCACAATCACATTGTATAAAGCAAGACTATTCAACACAAGGCAGCCTCGGTATAACTTCTAGTGACATTTGACATATTGCACTTTTTCGGTAGACTGGCCCTTGGCGATACTTGGACGCGCCCAAAACAAACCGATCATGTGGCCTCCAGGCAATGCCTTGCCACGCCCTTTCCCATCGCGATCTGGCAATCGGCACACTCCACAGGCAAGGTGGGCACATGAATGTTCTGCAAAGTTGACCGTTCCCAAAGTCTCACTCATTGATCGCACCCAACCAGACTCTATCCAAACTTCTTTTTGATTGGCAGGCTAGGCCGGCTGCTCAAGGTCCGCAGTTCAATGAGGTGCCGAGATTGATTCGTAAACTTTTTGGCCCACGTCATCTTGCGTCCCTGACGCACAAAGCAGTATCACTGTATCACTGTGGGTGTGGGGAAATCTCATTGGCCATCTTAAGCACCTCATTGGCTGCTTCGTGCGCTTCGTGGAAGATTCAACTGTCAACTGTCCTTCCAGTTGACCCCAGTAGAGACAGTGCTGATCGTGTGAAAAAAGACTTCAAGAGCAATGCACTGAGGATGAAAAAACACCGCAGGAACCATACAGCCGACTTGTGCCACGACACAATGACGGCGCCCCACTCTGATATAAGGACTGGAATAACAATCACAACTAACCCCCAATCGGCAACCAAATCGTCATCCTCAGGTAAGGTGTGCAATGTGTGAATCTGTGAACACTCCCCCCAAATCTATACATGTGCAACTCATGCAAGGGCTTGTGCTACCATCTGCCGCTTCTAGGTGATCTCATTGTACACCTATGATTTAGCATGCAAATTGCCAGCAAAGATACTGGGCCAGTGTTTCTCAAACTCCTCGCGACCAAAGCTTTGCTCTGATCGGGCGGGAGCAGGAGAGTCAGGGCAAATGCCCTCGCTATCCGGGCCATTGATCACTTCATTGACATCTTCTTTGCTTGGTGGAAAAATCCAAGACTTACTTGCATCTGTGCCTGCAAAATCCCATGGCATAGCAACTGTCCAAGGAACCTCGTCTGGGCGGTAGATTTTGATGCGAGCTCCGCCATCCTCTGGATTCCAACAAGTCTCACTCAAAGTAACATCTGCAATCTCCAGGTCCATTTTGTTACTGAAGTGCAATGTGACTCTTCTTTGGTCAGGAGTTGCACCTGCCTCAAATTGCACCCAGATTGGGGAATGAACTCCAACATGTTCGATGATTTGACGCAGGTCCCACTCAGTGGTACTCAAGGGCACGTTGAGCAGTTCCAGGGTGAGTGACGGCACTGGAGGAGCCCCAGCTTCGCAGTCCATGTTCTTGGGCACATTTGATGTTGAAGAGCAAGTTCTCTCCATGTCTAGAAATTCTGGCCACCCAAACCACGGCTGCGTCTTTTCGACTGGTGACTCGTCAGCGTCGTCCTCACCCTCACCGTCCACTGGAACCTGATGACTCCCGGTTCTCAACATTTGCGACAAACGATCTACAAGGTCACCACTCTTGTCCTGGCTACTTTTCTCCTCACTTCTTGGTGCCTCAGGCTCGCGGGAAATCTGGCCAGGATTGTGGTACTGAGCCAAGCCGCTATCCTCACCCAACAGCTCCGGAGCAAAGTAGTAGGTCATTGCCATCTCATAAGCTTGAGCTTCAGTGAAGATAGGCCACCATTGCTCAGATTGCTCTCGCATACGTCTTCTGTGGAAGGACTGTTCATCTTGCTGCGTGCCCGGACGGGCCGCTGCATCTTCGACCAACTTGGCAAAATCGGCCGGGGCCCAACTACATCCTTTCTCAAGCAGCTCTTTGGCAGCACTTGGTGCAACCCAAGGCCTTTGGCAAGGCAAAGGCGCATAGAAGACTTGGGTTCGGCTGTAGTGTTCCAAGTTGGCTGCTAAGCCTTGCAAGTGTGCCACTGACACAATGGCAGCTCTCTTTCTGTTGTAAGGCTGCCCCTTGAAGAAGTAGCCATCCATTCTCTTCTTGCAGTCTCGGCAACTGCTTTCATCTTTAAAGTTGACAAATGCATACCCCACGTTGTTCTTTGTGGCAGAGTCGATTGGCAAATAAAGGAAGTTGAATAATCCTTCAAAGCCAACACTATCAAGCTCTTCCATCAGGGTCTCGCGGTCATAAGCATTGGGAACATTCCTAAGCATCAAAGTAGTTTCGAGTTTTGTCTCACCTTTCTCGAACTGCTCCTCGACAGGGTTGGGTGATCTTAAAGAAAAACAACGCGAGCCTAGTTGCCCTAGTTTCGTTCATGCCGTCGCCCCATTCTCGTTCACGAACACACTTCTGTGCTTGCCTTTCGTAGTGAACATGAATGATTGCCCCTAGAAACAAAAGGTGCCACCCGTTTGCATCCCTGCCGGTCCCTGCCCAGCTTTAGCTCCTTGAGATTTGCCTTCTTGGGCACCAATTCGTGCCGCTTTCCGCACCACTGAGAGCGCTCCCATTGGGCATTCGCGGCATTCTCATTGGCCTCGGAGCTCTCTCCCTCCTTGGTATTCCACGCATCCGAAGAAAGCCATGGCGAAGCAAAGCCTTCTCCAAACCTCGGCTGAAAACACGGCCGAATGCCGTTTTCGTTGAGAACACTTCTTCGGCGTCATGGACAGCAACGACCACAACTTCTGTCTGCAACGACTTGATTGGCTTTGAATTGAGTGTTCCATGTCTGCCCTTTGGGGATCATGTACGATGCGACGGTGCGACAAAACACATGTTAAAGTTCAGTGGAGCAGCATGGTTTGCGCTTCTGAAGAACCCTCAGCACCAAAAGCCCACGCCATCTCTGTATTCCAAACTAACCAGCTTGGATCCACATAGGATTGCGCTTGCCAATCATCTGAGGCTTCTACCCCCTTTCCATCCGAAAGGTCTTTCCTTTCATAATAAGCTTTCAACCAGCTAGGAACACCATCTTGATCTGGCTCCTCCCCAGCTTGACCAGCCTCTTGAGGAACCTCTTGGGTCTTTTCTATGCTTGAGTCCTTTGTGTCACCGCCTGCATCACCGACCTCATCCTCGAGCTGGTCGTTCCAGTCCTCCACCTCCGAACTTCTTTTCTGGTCCTCAGCCAATGGGTGCTCCTCAGGTCTTTTGGGTTCAGTAGATCCATGAAGCCTCTCTCCTCTATCCTTGCGAGAGTGCCAGGACCATTTCTGTCCATATGACCTTGGCTTGCTCCATGAGTCCCATGCCCAGTTCCATTTCTCGGGTCTTTCCCAAGACTTCTTGGCCCAAGTCTGCGACATTTGTTTTTCTGCACCTTCCACCTTGATCCTGCCAATATGGCTGCGGAGCCAGCCAATGCACTGAAATATATCCTGCACGAAAAAGAAAAGGCAGTAGAGTTGCAACCACGCAAAAGGTGTCACATGGTGGCTCAGCAGATTCATGCAGATTCTGATTTAAGTCCTTCTTCTCCGATAAACAAGGATATGACGTGTCACAAAGGTTCACAAAGAAAAGATAAGAAAGTTCTGGCCTAAACCACCACGTCCCGCACCCTGGCATGAAGCACGATTGTAGGGTGAACGGGAAGCCAACCGAGTCTTCACTGTGTGTCACACACACACATACACTCCGCCACAAAAGCAACACTATACAGACTATACACCATGATTTAAAACATTATATTTTTGAACTACTTCGAGTGATCCACTCTTGAGGAGCCATGAGAAAGGCACTCGGAGGTGAAGTGCAGTGTGGTCACCTGGTGAACTGTATTGCGAAGTGTAATGATACGTAATGACGTCGTCACCGGATGTTGCTGCCAGGCTGCCATGTGGCGATGCGATGTCTGGCGATGTCGAACTGGAAGTTTGTTTTGGTGAAGCATTGAATCACTGGGCAATCCTTCAAAGGGGGATGGGGAGATGGTGCCGCGCGGAAGGCAAAGGGCATTCGTATGCATTCCTCAAGAATCTCTTCTGGCTCTATCTTCTAGAAGGCTTTAAAAAACACTTGACCTTTCAAACACTTGACATGATCGGTTCCCAGTTGAACTGTCCATGTGGCTTGAGCTCGGGCGCCCGAAAGAAGGGAGGAAGAGATGGGAGGAGATACCAATCGATGTCAGATGCCAATCGAGAAGGCGCGAGCAAGGACCCATAAGGACCCATACAAACCAGTTACGAGAAGACAGCTACATCTTGGAAGATTAACATGGAACCTGACAATGGACCCTTGGCCCTTGGCAGACGATTTTTCTCTACAACCCGATGGTTTTCAGGTTCCATGTCAATCTTCCAGGGCGTGCACGTCATGTGGTCCTGCGTGATCGTCGGTATACAACGTAGGGGAGAGAGCAGTTTGGGCGGACCACGGATTCTGGTAAAGCAACGGTTTTGCCCAGCTTGGGGCTCGGGCAGAACGTGAGTGGGGCAGAACGTGAGTGTGTCCTGCGTCGTTCGCTTCGCATCAAGAAGTCTTGCACGGAATTTCCGTTCCAAGGATGCACAACCCAATGGCAGAGTAGAGCTGCCGAGAGGGGGGCAGTCAGTCGCGCAGTCCCGTTGGGAAATAATGGGCAACTGAATCCATTGATGTTCATTGATGGAATGCACGAGAGTATGCAGAACAAACTGTCAGGGCTGCCCAAGCTTTAAAAGCATCACAAAGTAGACAAATATAATATGTCTAGAGAAAAAGTATCAAAAAGTAGAGGCCTCCAAAGAAAAGTAGCCAAAAAAAAGAGGTTTGTAGAGCTCAATGATTTATTGAAACAAAACGTATCAAAAAGATTCAACAAGTACGAGTACATTTGCAAACAAGCATTGAATTGAACAGATTTCTAGACAAAGCTGTCCAAAGGCAATTATATATTAAGAACAAAGTGCAGGATCCAAAAAGTAGCGGCAGAGGTTTCTGAAGAGGGGATAACAATGGATAACAGGCGTATCAGTAGACAAAATGCTATAAAATGTGCCGAAAAGTCGAACAGTATCGATTTGATGGTGTGACCACCACACAAAGCACCACTCTACAGACTCTACACTTTGCTACATAGCATTTCACTACATCACAAAGCATCGCCTTACACTCCGCACCACAAATCACCCCGCTACGCTTCACCGCAGCACCAATCACCACACTACACCTCACCACAGTATGGCACATCAACGCGTTGCCTATGGATTCTACATGACACTTCAAAAGGATGACAAACCACGTCAAACATGATGACGAGACCCTTCTTCAACTGACAAGTCATCGCTGCTGTTAATCACACAAATCACATTCCCTTGTATAGCTTGCATACCTCGAAGCTTCTGCCCACAGGCTCCGGACGACCCTCATACTTGAACAAAGGATCAGGGAAGATATGGGAACAGTCTCATGACAGTGTGGAGAAAAAACCTTGAAGGCATAAGGACAAAGTTTGCGACATAAGCATTGGCCACAGGGCCTGGCCTTTGGATTCATGCCGCCGGACCTCAGCTAGGCGAAGCTCCAAACTACCTCTGTCAAAACGAAGTGCAGCATTCTTTGTGACAGCAATGCAGCGCTGTCTGTCAGCAATGCAGCGCTGTCTAGTCCCGAGGCTTTGTTGTGATTGACTTGCCTTGTGGTGCCTTGTAGGATTCAATGAATGAATTGAGAGTAAGCCCCACGCGACTTGCCGCCTGATGGTCCAACACAGCGATACTGTGGCGATATAAGCCTTGTTCCTAGTAGCGAACTAGTAGCTTCTTGTTACTGGTGGGAATGACCTCCAACCTAATAGCGATGGGCTCCACCTAGTAGCTTCTTGCTACGTAGTTAACTCATCTGAGTAAATACTGTACTCAGTACTCCACTGTTCTTCAATACATGATCGAGTACTGCAAATGTCTCCAGTTCAGCACTACGAGTGCTGAAGTGAAAGCTTGTCAAAACACTGCCTTTGCCATCTTCTGGACCTGAGCAAGTCGTGGTGGACCGACTGAAGACTAACCGGCCTTTTTATCGGTTGAGCTGCAATGAAAGTGTTATAATTGCACATATTGAACGGAGAATTATGAATACAGGATAATACAGGTCTTTTCAAGGTTTTAGCTTGCTCTCTCTGTTGGGGTTTGCTCTAGACTTGCTATCCAAAATTTTGCAGAACTACAGGAAACGCGAGGACAGCAACAGTCCGGAAATCACGACAAAGGTACGCACTTTTGGGAGACTTAAGCTGTACGTTGGCTTTTCACTGCGAGCCAACCAAAGGAGCAAGAACGACAAACAATATTCGGAAGCAGGTCCAAACAGCAAACTCGTTCAACCATTATCTTCTTGTCAAAACTCCTCCCAATAAATATACAAATAGTGAGAGCGCTATGAACCAAACACTGAGCTCCAAGCCCTTGCCCTTGCGGCCTTTGCCCTTCTCTCCCTTGGGCCCTTGGCCTGATACAAAAGAGTCTGAAAGCAAGTGAATAATTCAACAGCAAATTTAATTTGGCAATGAGTTTCTCACAGTTGACCTGGCAATTGCAAGCCCAAAAAAATCGACAAAACCCTATCCCACCTTTTGGTCCCCCCGGTGCACCATCGCGACCTGAAAAGCTATATATACTACTTGCAAGTGCAACGGGGTGAGCTTTGCACTTGAAAAGCTGCCAGTGATCCAGCGGTGCAACCTACCCTATCATCGCAATTTTTGTCCTCTTCGCGTTCATCAGCTGTCTGCAGTGACGGCACCGCATGCAGCTTACCCATCTGGTCTTCATGGGATGAACTTGCACGGCTCCTTACTTCTTCCAGCCCTACTGCAACTTCTGGCGGCCGCCAGGCCCATCACAACTCAACAACCTCGAGTCTTGGTCACGTCTCCCGTAGATGTCCAGCGTGGATTTCTAAGTCAGGATGAGAGTGCCTCCAGCTGCTAAGAACGATAGAATCCGAAATATCACAGCATCAGGAAAGGACTCGAGCATGATCAAACAAAACATCAGAAACCAGCTATTTGTGGAGGATTGAGCATGAATGAAGCAATAAGTGCCGGTGCCTTTGGCTGCAGGTGAACCACATGGCCAGCACCAGCCGGCAGCCCCGCACCATGGGCTTCACACGGTGAACATTCCTGAGAACTGGAGCATCAAACAGCCTTGGAATCATTAAATCTGTGGAGCATCAATGCGTTCAACTGCGGATTTTGTGTTCAATGGCGGACTTTGTGAGCACTATTCAGCGGATGCTGTATGATGTTGTATGCACTTCGACGGGTAAGTGGAGAGGTGGAGAGGTACAGGCAGGTAGCAAACAGGTACAGTAGATGGATGTGTCAATGGCCGAGGGGCTCCAAGCCAGAGCTAAAGAAGGCCAGTTGCCCAGCCACAGGAGCTAGGACGCTGTCCTTCTGTGTGTTGAGGAAGAGCAGCTCACCACCTGAAGGCGAGTAAAGCTGAATTGTTTCGTAGCAACCAGAACTGCAATGGATCTATGTCTAAGTCCTCGGGTCTTCTATGGTCCGTTTAGAATCGCCAGCAGCCAGGCCTTCAAAGTCTATGCCAGCTGAGCTCAAGTAGAGTAGGGCGCTCCAGTCGTACGAGGCAACATTGGCCTGAAATGGGCACATAAGTGAAGCAGGCATGAAAAAGGAAGCATGATACTTGAAAATGGGTGCCACTCCGGCAAAGTTGTCTGAAAGCTGACCGCCTTGTCAACGTGTGCTGCGAATGCATCGCCAAGGCTAGAATTCTGCTGCATATCACCTACAAAGCAATGGACTCATCATTTAAAGTGGGACAGTCTATATACAGTAATCGAAGGCCAGCCGGCCAGCCAGCAGCATCAAGCTTGTTACAAGCAACAGGTTTGAGGAATGTAAACACTTGAACTTGAAGCAATACAGGACCCCCCAACAAAATGTGTATATATATATACATATATGTGATGGCATATATGATTCCTGAACAACAAAAAGCCACCGACAACAAATCCTAGGGGGGAGTCAGCTTACATTTAGGAATTGAGTGAGTTAAGGGACCTCCCTAAATGTAACTTACATTTTTTTGACCCCCCACCCCCCCATCTCAAAATGTAAGTTACATTTCCTAGAGGACCCCCCCATTTGCAGAGCATTAAGGGGGTAGGGATTATATATATATATAGGGATAAGGGCATCCTTGGTTAACGCTCCTGTCAGTGCATGGCATTGCTTGACTTCAGCATTTGCCAGGTCCACAAGTCAAGTCTACGCCTTCAATGGGAGGGATCTGGAGCCGAACCAGCAAAGCGCCGCTGAAGAACAACTCAATTCCCAAAGCACCCGAGATGGCCTGCCTCAACTGGCTCAACTTGTAACGTGCATAGTTCAACGCAACACGACGCAATACTGCTTAAACAGAATGGACTACAGCCCTATCAACACATTGATGATTATATATATATATGATATCAAGTGAGATAAGGAAATGATTGCCATTCCAGAGGCCAATCCACTCCAATCTCCCTAAAGCTTGGAATCCAAACGCCTTGAGCGCTGCAGCAAGTCCTAGTCACAAAATGGGACAGGATCTATGCAAAAACTATGAAGTGTGTAGCTTTTCTGAGGCCTCATGCTCTCTTGAAAACCCCCACCGCACCCATTTTGAAGGTCCTGGGTGAGCATCTTGGCAGACAGCAAAGGCCATGCTTTTGAATCCACGGCCAAAGATGTCATAGGCCCTGCGTGGAAAAGATGTTTGAAAGCCTCTGCACGGAGTAGAGTCTCCAGGGTATCGTTCACATGCAACTTTCTGGAAGCATTTGCGTCAGGATTCACACACACACATCAAACACTTGGCCTGAAGCACAGTTTCCTTCATTGCTGCCACCTGTGTCAGCCGTCTGTGTTTTGTTTTTGCCTCCAAACGTGGGAATGGAGAATGCCACAAAAGAATGATAATGCCATGTACATAGCAAGGTCATAAACTGACAAGCATTAACCTTGAGACACACAATTTTCACTATCCACTATAAAATAGAGAGTGGCACGCCATGGGGCCTTCCTTTTGGTTTTCCATAAATGTTTCTTAAATTCTTAAGTGGCAGCCTGCCCTCCATATCTGATACTGCGAAACATATATTACAAAGATAAATAACACATACCATTATCTGGGAAATCTACTTTTCCAGAGATCCAGAGGAAAGCTTTTAACATGAACTGTCATTGCCAGAGATCTAGAGGACAGCTTTTGAAAAAAGAAACTTCTTAAATATAGAAAGAATTATTCCCAGAGATCTAGCGGACACCCTTTGACATAAAAGCTTGTATACAGCTGTTATTGTAAAAAGTGATCATTCACAAAGATCTAGATGAATGCTATTTGACAGTTGTTATATAAGGTTTTTCCAAACTTAGAAATGCTTATTCCGAGAGATCTAAAGGAAAGCTTTTGAAATACTAAAGGTTCTTCAATATAGAAATGAGTATTCCTAAAGATTACTTTTAGAACAGTCTATCTGATAATTAAAGTAGAAATCAATCAGAACTGAAGTAGAATTGAATAGTCTTTAATTGCATTAAAACAAAACTGTATTAAATTTGCACTACTAGTAAGCTAGAATACGAATAATATATTACTACTGTAATTATTAGAACTGAATTGACTATATTAGTTAAAACTGATGTTCAATTAATTAACTTAGAGGTCGATTAGCATTAAATTAGGCGTGACATATAGAATTAAACTAGAATTAAAGTAGATGTGAAATAGAAGTAAATTGGAAATTGAATTAAAATGGACTTAAAGTTCAAACAATTAATTTAGCCGCACAATAGAACCAATCTAGAATTCAAATGGTGGTTGAGTTAGAACTAAATCAGAACACCAGACTTGAATCTGAATTTACTGTAAGTAGAATTGAAGTAGAAATGAACCACAACTACAGCTTCATATGTCAAGCTCCTTGGAAATGCAACAGCACTGATACCAATCAGAAGTTGATGCACACAGACTTGTACATAGAGATTTGGACAAGGACAAAGGAAGTGTTGGGCTCGGACGCTTTCAGTTGTAAAAAGAAAGAACAAATGACGCTAGGTGAGACTTAGGCTCAAATGCTTGAAGATTGAACGAGATAGTAATAGCACAGATTGTCTTAGAATGAAATTTAGAAAACTGATAAATTCTGAAAAAGAAAACTTGGGACAAAAAACACAAAAACTGGGGAAGTCTTGGGGAAGGGGGGTCCAGCCAAGAGTTTCTGAGAATTGCGTTTCTTTTTCTTCGGTTCTCCTAAGGCTTTTTGGATGTTCTTCATGGTTTAAAACGATGTCTTTATTGTTTAGCGATGCTTATTGTATTGTTGTATAATTACATATTTAAACATGCAGATTTCCAAAACGCAGGCCCCATGGCGTGCCCTTATGATAAATGATAAAATACGAGTACCAGGCAGTCAAAATTAAGTAGCACAAGCACGCTCCAGATCTACGAGGCCGAAGGCCTGAGGGTAACGTGGAATAGCCTGTGATCCTAGACACAAAAATACACAAGAGTTGTGGCATATGTCTATGATGACCTGAATGAAGCTTGGCATTGGAAAATAGAAAACATACATAGAACAAACATTGGGACAAATATATAGGAAAACATAGGACACAATATAGGAAATCTAGAAGACACACACCAAAAAAGAAGCAAAAAAAAGGAAGGATGCCGCAAAAAGGATCACACGCATAGAATCAAACATCTGAACAGGTAAGGCAAACTAAACAATCAACAGAGTTCAAGGGAGGGTGGTGGGAAGGGCGGTCGACGGGCGGAGGGGTGTGGGTGGAGGCGGCAGGGGGTGTTCAGGGCGGGGGTCGAGCGGCCTATGTTTGTCCTAATTTTCCCAATAAATTGTTTTCATGTTCTTTTTTCGAGGTTTTTGCTAGTTTGCAGTTTTTGGAAAGGCGAGCTGCTTTCGCGTCAGACCGGGTCCAAACACCAAATGGAATCCTTTGGGGGCGGTCCTTGCTGGACCCCCACCCAATTCCGCCAGGACCCAGCTCCTGAGCTCTTTGTTCATGGTTGGGTTTCCGTGTTTATCCTTTCTGGATGCGTTCTTTGTTTCGTCCATGTTGTCTTGTTCCTGTGTTTTTTTTATTCCTTTGTTTGTTGTATTTTTCTTGTTTGATGCTATGTATTGCTATTTTGGATGCTACTTTTTTCTTTGGTTTTTCCTATTGTATACTCTTTTGATCACACCCAGTGGAAGCTTAAATTCCTCATGATAAGCTTATAGAACTGTAGGATGCAAAGCACCTACGCATCGAAATCACTATAGAATCGGGACACCCGGGGTCCAGGGTGTGTACAAGCGTCTCCATCTTTCCATGCAAAGACTTCAAGCAAAGCCTGTGTATAAAGGACAGTGTCTCATACAATGCCAAGCCTTTAATTTAGAGCTGTAAATTGCCAAGGGGTCAGGGTGCTGTCTATCTGAGTCTATCTAGTGTTGCCTCAGTGAGGTCTGTCATCATCGCTGTTGTTCGTTTGTGTCGGCTCGTCCTGCGCTGGGCGAGTTGAATATGGCCATTTGGGGGGTGCAACATCTGGAGAAAGTGCTGCATGAAGCCAAAGAAAATCCACCCATCCCACCCCAACCAACCCCGCCCAAATATCAAATGTATAATAGCTATAACTGTTATAGAAAGTGTTTCCAAGCATTATTGCCTTGCAAATTTGGTTTGCCATTGTCTCTGACAAAAGGTGTACCTCTTCTTCATTGGCCACTTCTTGAAGCATCCACCGGCCGCATGAGGGTGACTTCGTGTCGCTGGCACTGCAGCCGTCAACTTGGCTATATACATGCTCATCCTTGCGGCATTTCTGCTAAAAGGTAGCAGCTGCTCCACCTTCTCTTTACCAGAAATGGTTCAATTAAACAAAATTGCTGACTCACTTCAAGTTTAACCAAGATCTCTTATTCTGCATCATTGTGCCGTGTTTCCTGACCACTTCCATTGCAGCCCAAACACATAGAGAGGACTGCCACAAGGAACTGGGCCAGCAGTCAAACTCTGTTCCTCTTTACCTGGTGGCAGGTAGGCATCAACGGCATCAACCAACCATATAATGAGGTGCATATCGTGCATATTATGCCCTCCGGTGCCTTCCAGCAGCATCTCCTTTACTGCGAAGAATTGACGCTTCTGGGCCAGAAGTGCCTCCACCTGTAGTTCAGAAAGGATGTCATGGCGTCATGGGACACAAACAGTAAATGAAAAAACACATAGTGACATGGGAAGGAACAATTGTAGCCTCCCACAGGAATTTCAACGCAGGCAGTAGTGGCTTCAAAGTCATGAACAAAGCCTGCACCTATTTGTTGAGCATGTTGGTGGACAGGTGAGGAATATCCTGTCTAATTCTCTGGAAAGGGGCCGCTTCTCCCACCACCTTTGCGAAGAATCCACCAGTTTTACTAAGTCTTGCTCACAAATAGCCCGAGGGTGATGATCATTAGCATTTGGGTCATCTGAAGCGTTGATCGTTGATCGTCCCGGAACGTTGAACCCATTCCAATTCATTCAAGTCGTCTGTCTTGCCCCTGATCAGCCAAGGGGTTCTAAGAATCAACATTTGTGGTGCTTCAGTTCCCCAATCCAAGGGAATGAGGCAACCACTTTGATCCTCCACAATTTGTGGAAGGGTTCCCATGGTTTGGCTTTGAGACCACCTCAGTGCTCCAAACGAGTGAAACATGAATGTCGAGATCTTCGGCCTGGCCATCCAGTGTGGTCGGGGCATCCTTCTTTCGGACCTCCTGTCATTTGCACAAACAACGGATCGGCTTCCAGGGGAACGGTCGAACAGGGAAGGGAACAAGCTAGGATGAATGGAACAAGAATGCTATCTTCATCTATGCTTATATATAACTGTTTGGCTTCATATGCTGCATTGCATGCTAGTCACACGTTTGTCAAATCAAGCCCCGACGTGTCATCCTCCACAAAGCCACTCGGCAACCTCAGGCAGGTTGTGACTTGAAGGAGCTAGGTCAGTACACGAGATGAAGCAGGCATAAACCTATGCATACTTAAAACTCTTAAAAACATAATGAAGACTTGCATGCACATGTCCCAGTTGTGCTGGCGCTTCCTGAGAGTACTTGAAAGGTTCCAACTAAATCCGGGGAAAAAAAGAACACACCAGGTCAAAGAACGCGTCTGGTAGGTCAGCTTTCCCGAACGCCCGGGAGAGTCTCTCGCGCAATGCAGCTGCCATGTAGCCTCGAGTTGGGGCCATGTGCCGCGAAATTGACCACAGCGGTGGGCGGGCGAATTGGTAGGCCACCATTCTGCCCAGAAAGCTGTGTCCATTTATATAAACGCTGGCCCTCCAAAGATCGACAATTCTTCGAGTTGTTTCTCTATTTGATCCGTGTCTGGTGTGTGCAAGACTTCTGGATGTGTTGTTTTTTTTCCTGTTGTTTTCTAGGGCTCAATCCCAAAACTTCTGGAAGCTTCTCGTTTGTTTTCTTCTCAAGGTGCACGTTTCCCAGTAAGTAGCTGTCTCTATTTAGACTGCATGTTCTTCTGGAGAAACAACAGGCCTTGAAAAAAACAGGGTACCCGTGAAAAAATCACAGTAGACAGTAGATCGTAGTTTGTTACTGGAGGGTGCTTTGAAAGGACAAGACTGACACCAAAACATGTGTTGAAAAGTGCAAACGCAGTTGGCATTGGTCATTGGTCTTAAAATGCAGGTGCACTTTAAGAGATAAGGTTGGTTTGAAAGAACAAGGTTGGAATTTGATTGGAAGGGAAAGTCTCCACAGGAAGGGTTGTGTCAGCTGCATGTTTTTGTTCAAGAAGGACAGCGTTGAATGGAGCAAATAATGATGAAATCTGTACCTGCTTTGAAGACCTGAGGTTGCCATTAGAATGAAGCACTTTTAGAAGATACATAGTGCCTTTGAAAGAACAGGCTTAAGACAGTTGCATTGGAATTGAAAAAGGTCTCTATAGATATTTGGAAGGGCATTCTTCTACAGAGAAATGGTGCCTTTACACAAAGAGGATACCTTCGAAAGAAACGGAAACAGTTGTTCACTGGACAGTGCCTCCCAAAACAAATAGCAATGAGATAGAACTAATTTCACAAGCAATGAGCATTCTGTTCTAGATGATGCTGCACTGAAAAAGCTTAAAAGAAGATATGGATATGGCCGCCTTTTGAAGAGAAGGTTTGTCTCGGACCCGGAGTGAGTCTGTCCTGAAAATTGGTGCTTGTAAATCTTTAAATAGAGAAGGGAGCTTTCACCAAATGATTTCAATCTGACATGTCAGTGTACCGTAGCTGAGGCACGTCACGTCAGCTCAGCGGAGTATCTTCGATTCAATCATAAATGCTCAAGATTTAGTTTGGAAGGGGTAAGAACTCAGAGGTCTTAGGACCTCCCTGGAACGAAGAACCAAAATTGACCCAAAACTTTCTGTACCTTGGTTCTTGGTTCCAGGGCGCAAGGATCTCCCAAGACCTCTTAATGCCTATTTTAGACCAACGTGTGTGCCAAGGTGAGCGTGATGTCCCCAAGCCGTTGCCACTTCAAAATTGCAAACCATTACATTTAGTTAAATCCATCTAAAGTTAATTTCATTAATTATGAAACTAATCTTTCAGAGCTCCATGGGTTTCCATCCGAGTCACGTTCTTGGAAGATCTCCCATGTCATCGGCTCACCACCCTCAAGGCCGAGCCCATCTCCAAAGAGCCGCTCATAGGCACTGCGAGCGGCCAAGTGCTCCTCAGAAGACAAGGCCATTGAGACCAGGACCTGTGAGACTCTCGAAGAAGGACCCAACACAGCAAAACAACTGATTCAACTGATTCACAAAGCTCAAATTCTTCTTCTCTGACCCTTCGCCCCTATTGAATTGGTCGCAAATGTATATAATTGCAAATGTGAACTGCAATGTATATAACTTACATAACTGGGAACCATTGGGGGCCGAAGAGTGTCTAAGTATGTTTATTTATGTAAACCTGCTGCCTGGCTCAACAGGTCGACGCTGTCAGGGAGCTCGAGGGCATCGAGATTCTCCTGACAGCAACGAACCGCACGGGCGTGGGAACACACGAACCGCAGGGCACGAACCGCACGCGCTCCCGAGGGCTCCTGCGCAAGCTGTCGGCCGATGAAGCCGCCCAGCAGTGCAGCCAATAGCACGGTGGCTGCGAGGATCCAACGCATGGCAAGCCCATGGCTAAAACACCGTGGTCATAGTCTCATTCGTCAAACATGTGAAAAAAGTCGAAGTAATAAAAAGCATCCGGGTGCCGATATCACATTCCAACTGTCTTTTAGGGAATGCAAGTAACACTGGAGCACTCTCAAGCCCAGCAGCTTCAAAACAGTTGGTTGATGGAGCGGCTATGAATCTTGCCAATGCAAACTTCGGACTGTTCGAACACAACGCCTGTTGGCATCAGTGGTCTACGACAGTATACTCGCCCTGCAGCGACAGCCTCGCCCACCACCTTTGCCTTTGCCCTTTTCACCTGGGTCTTAGAAAACTAAGAAACCGTGAAATATCCTGAAATAAAGCGCGCATGAAAAAAACATTGCCATTATAATATACCGTGAAATGCAAGCATTTGCATATGCTGTGCAGGTGGAACTCAAGGCCACAAGGAGATGTCCTCACCTCGACCACCAGCAGGCTTTCCGCCACCAGGGCTCGATGGACCCTTTGGTGGTTGGCCACCCTTAGCGCTAGTTCGCATGCACAATGACCCTAGTTCGCATGCCTCCGGATTGGGATCTGAGCCCGCATTCTCAAACAAATCAAAATTATAGACCTTATTCATGTTTATTCCATTGGTGCGGCCCCTGCCTGAGGAGAAACAGTTCTAATTCGACTGGCAAATCTAATTGTCATGAATCGAATATCCACAAAAATAAATCCGAAAATTCAGCAGTCCAGTCCAGGTGTTGCATGCTGATTGAATCCTAAAACTTTGTTGCACAGGTGGTCGAATTCCCAGCCTCCGGTTTGTCCTTCTTCTCTTCACCCTTTGCCCCCTTCCTGCAGAAAGGGAACTTGATTTCTGGGACACATGGTGTTATTCTTGGAGTGGCAAAGGCAGGCGCAAGTCTCTGGTTGTGCTCTGAGTGCTAGGCCCTTTCCCTTCGCCTTTCTTGCCCTTTCCTCAGCTTTTGGCAACGCGCAAAACTAGAAACAGCCTAGTAAAGGATACAACTTAAATGACCGCTTTCCTGGCTCAACATCCTATTGTATGACTCCTGACACGGCTTCAAGGTGCATAAGTCCCCAGCCTTTTCCTTTGCCCTTAAACAAGAAGTTCGGAGGACCTGGCCCGTGCCCATGGGCACGTATGGCATCGAATGATTCCCTTCAGATTCTAAGTTATAAATTGCCTACATCAAAGTGGAGATATGCTGCAATCAATGCGTAATATATACAGTAGCAACTATGCACAAAACCATATCATCATTGTACAATATATACATTGATGTACATATATTTGATCCACGTGCCTTTGAAAGCATAGCACTTCTCCGCACCCAAACCTTGTTCGTCCTGCATGTCTGCTGATTTGTGTGGCTGTCATGCAATGTCATGCCGACCGAACATGTGAAAACTTCTAGATTAAGGAAATTCGGCTTCAGAGTCAGTCATTCTCTCCTCAAAAATCTGGAACTGCACAAATGTGCCCGGCATCAAGTCCCTGGAGTTGGCCTGAGGGAAGAGCGCCCAAACTGGAATGGCAAATGGTTAGACTTTTAGACAGCATTGGACGGTTGGAGGAACGCACTTGAAAAATCTTGGATCCAAAGGCTGCCGTCTTTGCATGGTCTGCAACATCGACCGACGGCTGGAGGATGCGGCCAAATCGGTGCGGCTTACAAAGATTCGACCCTGCCGCATTGAAGCCTCCGACACATGCAGCACATGCATCCGCATTCAAAAGGGGCACAGAGTCACACGGCTGACTGCTGACGTGCTGACATCGCATTCACCGACTAGGGCAATTCTTCGAAGCTTTCAGTCGAGACCCAGAACTCACAGCAGGCCTTTGGGTGCTTCACCGGCTCCATGGGAATAATCCAGCCGTAGTTGCCCTCAGTTTGATTTGGACATTGACCCTGTCTTGTGGGCACTCCTAGTGAATCCGAAAGCCAATTAAAGCATTCTGAGTGTGCCACTCGCCATTCCCAAACCTGTTCATTAGCAACTTAACTAACAGTCAGATTGCAACCCATGTATGAGGATGTATGAGGCACTCATTCACTCTTATGAACTTGGATGTCATGTCATATATTATCACATGTTCGAGCAAAGCTCTCCATTGCCTAAACTGACAGCTTACTTGTGATTTACAATGTAATTAGGCAACTGGCTTTGGTCTTAGTCGAAGGAATTGTGTCACCGTCTGGCCGCACCTGCCCAAGGTGCTGGTGGGTCGAAACCCGAGTGCGTGGCAAAGTTGGGCCTTAGGAAAGTGCCCAATGCGAAAACAGCGACGTTCGGTCTTGTGGGTCCGAAGCATGATCCACTTGCATTGGGGCTTGTACGATGGCATTTCGAACGCGTTTAGCCTTCCATGATTGAAAAGAATGCTTTGCCAGTCATGAGTCACGCCGAGTTCTGCCCACTGGTGCCTCGAGTCTTGTTGAACCTGTGACGTTCCAAGAACGCTCAGGGCACGGGGGAGTGAGTCTTGTTTCTTCAGCATACTCACTGGCCGGCATGGTCTCCGACACGTGGCAGATTGAATGGAAAGGAGAGGACCCAAGCGTGGGCACTGCGCAAGAGTTCTGGTGCAGAGCAAGGCCTCCGACCGTACCCAAATCCCAACACACTCCGCCGCACTGCGTTCGAAAAGCCAAGGAATTGTAGAGACTTCAGTTTCCACAGGAGAACGCCACGCCGAGCCAACCTGTATTACATGCTGCTGAAGCCCTGACAAGTCCAGACATGCTACGGCAAGTACTGTGCGGTGTCCCAAAGGTGAAGTGCACTGAAAACACCGAGAGGGGTCGACTGTTAAACAAAGAGAAGTAGTCGTGTTTTGTCGGTGTCATTGAACAAACGAGGAGCTCTACATTCAAGACTGATAAGTAGATTGTGCGCTCTTCAATAATGCGAGTAATGAATATAAGCAGAACTACACAACATGTGAATGCCTCTAGTGAGGACGCGGGACGGATTTCGAGTCTGGACGCAGTGCCGATACTTTTTAGGCCTGATCCAAAAAGAGTCAATGCTGCCATTTGTTCCTACTACAAACTCGTTGCAGAATAGTTGTAGCATCGGTTCAATTTTAGTTGATCAGAGAGCGCCAAGAAATCCTTAATTAGCAAGGTACTGAAGTGGGATGTGAATATCTGACTCAGCTGGAGATGGTGTAATTTGAGTCTCAATAAGGGTTGTGGCATGTTGCAGCTTGTATCAGCTTGTTGCGGCTTGACTTATCCATCGCAAGCTGCTTATGGCTTATTATGACATGCAATATGTGGACTATCTTGGCCGTGTGGGCTATGCGGCTATCCTCAGCAAGGCAAATCTGAGTTATTCATACTTATTCCAATTTCTTGAACGGCTTGGAATGGTTTGACGTGTCAATTACCGGCTTCAGCGTGGTTTTATGCGCTTCAGCCAGTTTCACAACTTCAACGCCAAAATAGAGTATATATCCTGAAACTCGTCCGGAGGTACTTGATACACTTCGGTCCTCAGGTCAAGACCTCCTGGCTGTTTGTCCTTGTTCTCCTGCCAGTGTGCAACAGGAGTGCTGCTGACACACCTGGTTGGGCTGTCCTCCTCAGCTGTCTCCCCGGCTTCAGGTGCTTCTGGCCTTCACAACGCAAACATTGACAATCCACTAGTGGTTGTTTGAGTATACGGCCGCTGTTTGGCCATGACTAATGTGATTGGCTGGAACTGATGTTCGTAAAAACGCAAGGGCACTCTGGTTGACTCGATGCAGAAGTAGGCCAGGCACTTTTGGCTTGCAAATGCTCAAACTAAGGCTTGGTCTGTGCAGGAGGTGCTTCAGCTTCATCTGGGTATATAGCACAAAAGTTGAAGGCATCTCGACCCGACATTCTATCTGCAAGTCTGAGTGCAACATCCTTTATCCTTTGCTCATGTTGCATTCGTCCATGGGATCAAGCAAACACGCTACGGTATGAAATAACTGTCTGCTTCATAAATCGGTATGTAGTCTTTTTTTGCCTGTCAATGTCCAATATTTAGTGGATTGCAATTTGTGGTGCCAATCTGTTCATCTGGGTTCCCCACCAGTCGCCATGGCCTACAGGATTGGAGTGAATCTCGTACTCGTCAGCCAAGGGCAAGGGGCAGCGAACAAACGTGCGTGAGCTGATGCAGCTGATGCTATGACTGGCTTTCGTACCCTAGCCGTGTATTTTAAAGAATCTGCCAATATGCCTCGCATAGGACTCCAGCTTAGGCAAGAATTGCTTGAGCAGGAGGTGCAGCAAGTACAGAGCACAGGATATGGGTTCCTCAATACTTCTAGAACTGCATCATGGAGTCAGCGCAAAATATCCTGCAGCCTGTGTTTTAACATTCCATAATCGACGCACTGCCAAGCTCCGTCCCAGGCCGTGCTTTCATTCCGACGGCTGACTGCAGCATCCAAAGAGTCGCAAAATATATTTCATAAGGACAGTATGACTCTATGGCAGCTTGCAGAATGATATCTACAGTAATATCAGTAACTCTTGCCTTCTCCAAATCTGTTGGCCGCTGGGCATGAGTCAACCGTTGTGACACTCCACCCCCTGCTTGGATGCCAAGCAGGTCCCCCATTGCCACCGTGCCAGTCCAACCTGGATGTCCCCATTATTGGAAGTCAAAAGTAGTTGCAAACCCTCAGTATTGGACACGATGCACGGGTCCCTAGTTGAGGAAAGCGGCAAGTGAGAGGGCATCTGAGCATACAGGCGGGGCATGTGTGCTCCAATGCAAAGATGCGTTTTTGGATAAGAATTGATTGCACCGGCTGCGTGGGTACGTGTTCTTCTACAGCACATGAAGTACGGCAAACTTGCACACAGGCATTCCCAGAACATTCAAGAGCCACTGCCAGCCTGCCTGCCCAAACTCAAACATGGATATTAAAACGTCTCGCGATGTCTTGCAGGTGATGTACTTCTAGTAGCTCAACAATTCTGGACATCCGCAAAGGGACAGGTCGGTCAAGCCTATTTCACTCCTCTAGGAATGCATGTCACTTCAAAAATAAATCTCAAGATTGGGGCAAGCCCTGCGAGTACATCACATGTCTCAGACTCGGCTTGTTGCCAATACTGCTCGGACGCAGTGGAAAGTCCAAGTTGCAATATCAATGTTTAGCTGCAGCCAGTGTCTGGGATGCTTCACTGGTGTTCATCACGTGCACAACTACCGCAACTACACTCCGGAAATTGGTATCTATGAAAAATAAGAGATGTATATATAGTGACACTGTCACCATGCACTACTATTTTCCTCGTGTTCCCTCTAACCACCTTGCCTCCCACCTTGTACTTAGTGGCTTTGGAATTTGCTCCCCAAATCACTGTGAGCTTCACACTTGCACTCTATCAAAACTTGTCGCTGTGCCGAAATCGCCCAAACCTCCTTCGGACCTTCTTCTTGAACTGCTTGAAGCACACACTACACCCTCCTCCAATCGAAATAAAGGCTGCAACTGCACCCAGTGAAGGTTTTAGAACAATTGGGAAATCGTCGTATTGTGATCGAAGTCAAGTATCAAGGGTGGAAAAGGTGCGATTGGTGGAACAGAACAACTTCGGAAAGTGCTGATCTCAGGTCTTTGCGGCTTTGCCACCGCGACCGGGGTCTTTCAATCCGCCTGGACTTAGGCTGAGATCCAGTGACACACGAGGCCCGCATCCACAGCTCGGACATCGATGTGGGATCTGTATACGATGCGCAGTGTTGGATGTTTTAGATGTTTTAGGTTTGTGAGGCTCATGATCATGGTCTCAGGCCCAAATCCAACTGAAAAAAAGTTGTTTGAGAATCCAGGGCGGCAATAGTCTACCACTCAATCGCCGCAAGCACGAAGCGCCAATGCCAAAGCATGGCCCATCACACGTCGACTTGAACGCCAAAACAGGGATAGTGATTCAAACAGTTGGTGCTGGTGCTGGGGGTGCTGCCTTACACTACACCGAAGCAATTCGCTGGTTGCCCATATCTATCACACTGCATCTCCTGAAAAGGAAATGGCGGCTGACCCCCAACCAGTACCTAACACCAAACTTTGCTAGCATATGCTAGCATGGTTCTTCTGCGACTAGCTTGCCAGCAAGCTGTCCCACAATTCTTGCAGATTTCAAACCCGCCAAGGGTAGGAGATTGGAACATCTCAAGAAATCTAACACGTTTTAGCCTCACCTGCCGATAGCAAGTTATCAAGCAAACAAAGATCAAAATCACACACCGATGACCACCATAGGCATCGCAGAAGGTATGCTCTCCACGGAATCCCTGGACAAAGTAGTGCTCAGCTCAGAAGCTGTGACTTCCCTGGGCTGCCGGTTCTTAAGTCACAGTCACGAGTTAAGTGATTGAGTCGGCTCCGGGCCTGGCCCAGGCGAACGGGATCTTAACTATAGACAATTGCATAACTTAAGCCAACGGGCCGGCTGTTCCACAAAGCGTTGGTCTTCTCCGCACCATATAATTAATGATCAACCCGCCGGCCCCCACCTACCTGACGCCTAGGTGGGCCTGGGACACCGCAGGGTGGAAGGGTCGCGAATGATCTGGCCATGGCCCCCGCCATGCTTTTCCAATGGGTCTAAGGTTCCCTACAAACCCCTCGTCCCGGCCGCATTTGCGCAGAACAAGGGCCAAGGCTGTGGCGAAGGACACCTTCCACGCTTTCTTATTGACATATGTCCACGCTGTGGTGTCGCAACACAGGGCAATGTCACAGTTCTTAGTTGTCAGGATTGCTTGGTGACAAAACTCTGCTCCGCAAACACTCTTTTGTATCAAAGGTGCGTGTCCCATAAAAATGGCCGCTGCAACGGACGCTTCTGACAGCATATGGTGGTGCGGTGTGATGCTTTAAGAGTGGAGACCACTAAAACATACTAAAACCGTCTTACGGCTGCGGTTTGTTAGGGCAACTTCAAGCATTCAAGCGAAACCTGCACTGCCTCATGTTAAGGCCCCAGCCTTACAGTAATGTTTTTATCGTCGTTTGGATTAATTTTGCGTTCTTCTTGTCGTTCTTGTTGCTGCTGCTGGCAACCATTGCAGTGCAAACGTTGTCACTGCGCCTGCGTAGTGAAAGTCGTTGTCGCGCTGCTGCTGCTGCTGCTGCTGCTGCTGTGGTGGCACGCGCGGTTGTGTCTACGGCTGCCATCTGATAGAACGGTGCCGCCGAACCCAATTTTGAGCCGGTAAGACAAACACACCTGTTGAAGAGGCAAGATGTGCTGCACAAGCGCTACCATGCGCCACCTTTGTCTTCCTTGCACCAAGTAGTGGATGGCAGCGCAGGGCGGGTAAATGAACAAATTGTGATATAACAGAACGACAAAAAGAACTGCAACGCGAACTCAGATAAGTAAGAAAAACGATTTACCAAGTGAATAAGGCCATGGCGACTACCGCAATGTACATCTACAGCGTGTGCGCAACGCAGGTTTCGCCTGAAGTTATCCGGCGAAATGGAGGTATCAAGCTAGCTTGCTATAGTTTGCTATACGGAGACGCGCTCCATGCCGCCGACCCATATTTCTAGCATCACCAGGGCTCATGTGGCTTCGTCAAAAAAACATCAAAAACAGGTGGAAAATGATCAAAAATGGCCACTGTAAAGCTTATAGCCTCTAGAAAATCTAAAATAGAGCATTGAAAGTGGAGACAAATTTTGAGGACAAATTTTGGTCGAGCATCATTAGCACCAGCAGAGTCCCAGCAGGAAAGATGCAAATCCTTTGGTGCATGACTAGGCGCAAAACATATAAATTACAGTTTTTAACAAATGTATGTAGTATTATGTAGTTTATGAACAATGCTGCTCGTACTCTGATGATGCCAATGGTGCTCGATATAACTGCTACCTCAAACCTTCCCCTGCCCTTACCACACTTTCTTCTCCAGAGATAAAGATTTACAGTAGCCATGTTTGATCACGTTCACTGTGTTCTTGGCGTTTTTGCAAATAAATACATACGTCCTGGTGTCGGCTTGCGGCCGACATTTCTAGCACCACCTGGGCTATATGGCTTCTTCATATTTGTGGTGGAAAACGCTGAAGAAGCCTTTGTTTTTGCATTTTCTAGCCCGAAACTATCTGTGCTTACGGGGTTCGCGGACGCGGAGGTGGCTCCAAAATCGCCCATTGGGTGTGCCCGCACCCGCGCGCGCGCGAGTGTGTGTGCGTTCGTGTGCGTGTCCGGGTGTGCATGCGCGTACGTGCGTCTGAAGCTGAGGTTGCCAGGCTTTTACCATCAGACCCTTGTGCGCACACCTGTGTGGGGGTGTGTATGCGCAGGCGTAAGAAGCTGTGCTAATCGTCAATTTTGCTGTACCCTGCGGATACGCGCAGTCCAAGCCTGTCAGTTTGGTTAACAGTTAATCATTTGATTACTTTCTGGTTGAGAAATCCCACTCGACATGCGGCAAGCAGCTCAATTCTTCGTGGTCTTCTGAGTCTCCCCGCTGGTCCCCGACAAGGTTGCGATGCCTAGCACGGACATGTCGCTTCTGTATCAAAAGCCTACCAAAGTACCAATTCCTCATGAAAAAGGCTCCTGGTCACGGTGGCCTGGTCACCTTGAAACCCTTTTCTTGAGTCGTTGCCAGTCATGTGATACCCTCCATCGATGAATCACGCAAACTGACAATGGTGTGAGGCCAGGAGTCTGGCCGCCGGGTTTCGCAAAGTTGCGGGTAAATCGGCAAAATTTGGCCTTGGTCAAAGATAGTGAAGGGTCAAAGCAGTGCAATCCAGCATGTGATTTGATGTGATTTGCTATGGCTTGATATCTCGGTCAAAGAAGTGGAAAACAAAAAATAAAAGTATGTTCATGCTTTTCGGCACCTTGGATGCCTGAAGCTTAAAGAAGGGTGTGCTCAACAAAGCGACAAAGAAACAAAACGGGTCTGCAAATCTTAAATTGAGATATGCCAGACCCTTAATTAAGGTCTTTCTGCACCACCTTGCTCGTACGAGTGTTGCTTGGGATGCAATCGTTGGTCGTTGGCTATTCCTGGAACTCGGTGGACAAATGTTCTGCGTGGCATTGGATTGTTTAGTATATAGCGGGGCTGCGTGGCCGGTTTGAGCCGTGCAAGAGAAAGGTTTCAAACTTGCGAGAGACAGGCTTGAAGCCATAGAGATAGAGGCAGACTTGAACCGTGTCAGAAAGTGTTTTCGGATCAATTTTCTGTGTTAGGTGGGTCAATAGTGTGGCGAGACCGGGGCTGCGACCCCTCCCGCCAACCTAGCGCGGTTAATTGCGCGTGCGACCTCCTTGCCATTTGGGAGAATATTTCAGGCGCACAAGGGCAACATGCGAAAACGGGAGGGGCAAGAAACCTCGCAAATACCATGAAATAACGGCGTTTTCAGATCTTGCGGAAAATGGCACAAGAAAAAAAACACAGGTGTTTCTCGACTTTAAGAAACATGAAAAACACATGAACATTTATAAACATGCCTGGAGGGGCACCCTCCTTCAAGATAGCTCAAGATGGCCCCAAGCTGGCCCATGGCACAACTTGGGCCATCTTAACCCAAGCTGGCCCCCAGATGGCTTCAACATAGGCATACATAGGCTAAGAATGGCTAAGATAGCTCCAAGATGGGCCAACATTGCCCTATAATGGGCTAACAGTCGCTAAAATATAGGTGCTACATAGGCCTACACGACAACGACAACAACAACAACAACAACAGCCTGCTGTCCCTTTCCCTTCCCCCATGCCTTCCCCCTTCCTTTTGCTCCCTACATAGGCCCTACCCCCCCTTTCCTCTTGCCCCTCCACTTGCTTTCCCCTGCCCCTGAAATATATTATCATCATCACGAGTAAGCGTTGACGCGGGCGGTGCAGCACTTTTGTTCTACGGAGCATACCACTGCGCTCAAATGACGTCGGCATCTCCTTCAGCATGTCTGGTCGTTGAACACAAAATATACAAAATACATTCTCAAGAAAAAGGAGATTGGATCGACGCGTTGGTCAAAATTGCATGAAATGATTTACTTGACCTGTGAAGCCAAAGCAGTTCGTGTCTATGACATTCACACATTTCAAGAGTGAAATTTTGTCACTCTAAGGAAGCTCCATCGAACATTGTTCTGCCCCATGCAGTACGCACAAAACAAAAAACTGCACAAACCCGAGGGTCCGAGGGCCCATGCAGCTGGCCAAACCGGAACCCCAATGAACCCAAGCGCCCGGCATACCTAAAGCTGCCGGGCTTGGAGCATTGACCCCTTGTGGGGTGCCTGTGCATCTTCTCGCTTTTCGGAAAGAACAACTTCTCGTCCCCCAGCGGATTGTAGAGTGAAAAGCTTTTGATTGCAAAGCCCCGTATAATTGCATCAGTCAGTCTCCGATGGGTTCATGGATGGTTTTTGTGGGGAACCTTCCGGGTGCTTTTGGCTGGCTGGACAATAGTTGTATAAGTCATTATATACTAAGTTAAATATATATATATATCCTTTTGTATGACGACATCAAGCCAGTCTTCCTTCACTGCACCTTGGCTACTACAAGGTCAGCAAATTTAACACTTCCGCCGTTTGGCAAAACTTGCAGCCCATCCTGACCTTGGTTTTGCTGAACATAGGCAGCAAAAGCATGGTTGGCCATGCCTTGGCATGTATGTCGGGCGTCTCCAAATTAATGCTCACACCTGGTGTTTTGACCTGACACTCACAGAAATTGTGTTCGTAGAAAATTATCGATCCACTGCAAAAAGTGTGGTTGGTTGATGGTTGTCATTTAAAAATGTCAAAATGCAATGTTCCAATTGAAAGAAAAACATTGGCAGCAGGGACAGCTGGTGACCCGCTGAAACGAGAGCCGGACCCATGGACTGCAGTTGCTGGAGTCCTGATGCAAGTGCACGTGCACCCAGCCCAATAAAGTCCAATAAAGTCCGCAAAATCGGCGGTGAAGTAAACATACGAGCCTGAAATCTCTCTCTGCAGGGTCTAGCTGTGGCGCAAACATCCCACTAGGACACTAATAGCGCGCTTCTATGTGGTTTTCTTTGCCAAGAGCACTCGACTTGTCTATGCTACAAACATGCATTACACAGTGGTCTTGGAGCTGTTCCAAAACACCACTCGTCCTGAAAGCCCTTGCAATCCGTTGAGGTTCTGCAAACCTTCAGCGCACTGTTTCGGCAAGGTTTGTGGACTGAACGGGCCAAGTTTAAACTTGAAAGGTTGGAGGCCACCGCTTCTAGGGTGGAGGCCATCACTACTAGGATGAAGGCCATCGCTCTACAAGCAAGATTAAATTACATGGGGGGTACAGTACATCCCGGAGACGCCAAGTTGCACCTCCCGGCGTCACGAGAGCACGAACGCAGTTATTGAAGGAATCGGGAGTATTCTGTGGTTTCATGGAGCACATGGGCAGCTTAATTTGGGAAGGGTGAATTGTGGTCGGGTTCGAGAGTTGCTGAGTGTTACTTTTTCGGATGAGGGAAGTGTACCTCTCTGTCTCCGGTCCGAACCCCACAAAAGGTTTTCCACCTTTCCACCTTTTGTGGGAAAAACCTTTTGCGCTATTCATCTTTCGGTTTTAGATGTTTTAGCCGGCACTCGCAGCAACTTCAGTTTGAATGCAATCCAACACAACTAACTATATAATGATACTAATATGCTGCTATACACATTGTGTATAGCAGCATATTAGTATTGACATGTACACCAACACCAACACTCTTCAGAAACACAGTAAGCGTGTTCACACCAGGCAACCAATATGTGTTCATACCAGGGACTGTTCCTACGTTCTGCGTTTTTCGGCAAGTATGAGGCGTTTCCACATGCTCCTCGTGCTTCCAGTCTTTGCAGTCTACCTTGCCTCTTGGCGTGTTCATCATATCGTTGAACCGATGAAAGCAGTGTAAAGGAATTTGATGCTGTTTTTCTTTTCTGATACAACCTCTCGCTTTTCATGTCAAATGTGATTTGTACAACGCAGAAAAACATCATCTTGCGCAGCACTGGCAAAGAAAACGAAGGAAAGCCAACACTACGTCATGAGTCTCGAGTTCTACAAGTTGGCGTGTGAGGCTGCGAGAAGAACAAGTCCGGAAGCTGAGCGGTTTGTGTGCAATGTGGCATACATTTACATCTTGATTTATTTAAGCAGGCCATTCGCCGGGTGGAGAACTTGTCAAACAAACATGCGGCAAACTAAACGCTGCATTCCAAGCTGCTCATATTCTGCATGTTCAGGTTGTTGCCCTGCTGGGAGGAGGAAAACCGCTTTCCATTACTTTCCTTGTAATACCCGTTAGTGTTGGAGACAGGCTGATAATGGCAAGATTGAGGAAAAATCTCCCATCCGCTCCCCAGATTCTGCTGGTCTCTGTATGCTTATGATATCTTATGATATCTAAACACTTAGACTCGCTTCAGTTTTGTCCGCTCTTTCAGCAAAATCCGCACTCCTGAGCTTTCTGGTGACACACTCTTGGCAGGCGAAACTGGCTCCAAGTTGCGACTGCTTCTGCGGCACGTTCCAAGAAGCCTTGATACCTGTGATTACCAGTCTAAAGAAACCTCATGGCAAAAGAGTAAAGAGTAGTAGTCAGTGGTAAGTGGTGAGTGAGTGGTGAGGGTTGGGCCAAGTTGTTGGTTCTCAGACTGAGTGCCGGTGTCGGTCCTTGCCCTAGACATCCCCATGTGGCTTCACTTGCGGCCGGACAACTTGCGCCACTTCTCCCACTCCTTGGCTCTTCAGGACCAGGAGTCACAAAAGGCGACTCAGGCGACCAACTACAGCAAGCCCGACATAGCGAAATGGTCCGAGTCTATGGATGTCTACAGTCGGTTTGAATTGGTTTGAGTGTTCCGTATTGTGCCACTAAGATACCCTCTTCAGCATCCAGGGAGACTTCCAGCCTGGCAACTGCCAAGGCCTTGGCTCCCGAAGCATGTTGCACTCAGGCAGGGTGTAGCCGATTACCTCCAACAAGTGCAAAATGAAGCAAAACACTATGCCGTGCCAAGAGTTTCAGTACAAACAAACAGCAGTTCAGGCATGGAGCTACTGTTCCTGACTTGCGTAACTGCAAACCGCAAACCGAATCCTGCACCTTCCATGCAAAGTTAGCTTTACTGTGAATCAGGAACGCTATGGCTATGGATCTTTCTCTGACGCAACTTGCACAAGCTGTGCAATTTCGATGAAGGAGGAAAGGAATCCACCAAACACCGCAAACAGTGACAGTTACAGTCCATTCAAAACAATACTTGTCCTCTCGCTTGGTCACGGCCTTCCAGGCCGGTGTGAAGGGATCTTCTGGTTTCTGGATGAGCCCCTTCTTCACTGAGCCCCGCAGAATCGCTATGAAGAGGCGGTCCTGCAAAGCACCAAGTATATATAAAACTAAAACTATCCACGATCAATAAACGTGTTTTCGTTGCTAGCGGACTTCGCCTGTGCTTAACGCTTGCACTGTGCAGTCCTTGTGCTTGGCAGCAGTGTTTTTATGAAGCACACCTTGCACTGTCACCTCGTCAATGATCTCACAAGCCTGACCGCTGAGGACTGCTGGTCTTGCAAAACTCCTCTGGCATGAGTGCCCAACCTGGGTTAACTACGATTTCTAATATCCCTACTCCTAAGTGAGGGGGGGCCTGCACAAATGTAGGCTACAGTTTTGGTAGCCCGTTCCAAAAATGTAAGCTACAATGTTCAGAACAATGTAAGTTACGTTTTTGTTTGTTCCTTCAGAAAATGTAGCTTACATTTTCTCAGTCCAAAGTGTACAAAAATGTAGCTTACATTTTTGCAGGTCCCCCACTCCATGCTGAAATGAAGATGTAGCCAACACCTCATGGCCCTAATAGGGTGTTTTTATGCAAAATATCAGCTAAGTCATGTATATTCTTTCTGTACATATCTGATTATATCTAATTAAATCATATTATCAGGCAACTTACATTGCTTTGATCAATTTCATTCGGATTTTACATTAAATTCTCAGTTGCCATTTGGTCGTAGGGTTGTTTCACCATATACATCTTTACTTCTGTAGTCTTCATGTGTTGCCTTTCAATGTCTAGGTACATACCACCGGTATACGTAAATCTGTGAGTTCAATTTTTTCGTCTAGACGTTTCTTCCTTCCCGTTCTTTTCTGTATTTCTTTCCTTCTTCCTGGATACCAATG